ACTTCCTCATGATTTATCATCCCCTGAAGCCCAAATACTCCTTCCTTTGTTAAAATGGCATATAAGCCCTTGAATCTAACCACTCCTTTGAATTTCATTTCTCTTCTATAAACTCCTATGCATGTAAAATATTCATAAAAATTCAATTCCTTTTTCTTCTGTCAGTCTTTCTTTTGCTAGTTTAATCCACATGACCTCAAAAACTTAATCTATGAGGGTAGAGAGAAAGTTTTTCCTCTTGACAGCCATTTACTATCTAATCATCTATAATGTTTTCAAATTCACCACTAATAACTTACCTACTCCAATCCTCTATTCTAGTCAACACAGCCTATTTAATCATTTGTGTCCTGCCTTTTTTTTTTTTGCTTGTTGTCTAAATAGCATATGAATACTAACCCCTATAACATTATTAATTCTTTTACCTTTGTCATGCACTTGGTCTGAATCTTTAAAGTTGTATTTTAATTTCAGCCCCTTTATAAAGCTTTCTCTGACTCCTCTATACAGACCAACTTAGTTCCCTAAATGCCAAGGGGAGTTTGATTGGTTTCACTCATTTATGCATGGCATGTGTTCCCTTGTAATGTTGTTTTGTTCACTTATACTTCCTCATTGTATATCCCTGGGGATCAGCAACCATGCTTTTTAGTTCTGTATGGCCAGTATTTAGCACAGAATTAAAAAACTCATATGGTATTCAGTAAATATTCAGTAAGAGTGAATACAAATTGATTTGGTACATTGGTCCCATTAAAAACCGGGTATCCTTGACTTCTAAAAGTCATTCCTTGGAGACATTTTAAGAGGCAGAGATTTTAGCATCATGGGAAACCCAGAATGTTATACTGATTAAGCAAAATATGTCACATTGCCTAAACTGAAAGAAGGTTTAAGATGGGTCCATAGGATATATGGTATCCTGGTTTCTTTAGCCATTAATTAAAAGTTACAATGTATAACATGTTTATTAGGTGGAAAGCAGCACCTTGTAGTACTCTGACAGGTGATTTTCAGTCCTTTATTTCTTTCTTTATCCATTTATTTAATAAGACTTTAGTTTACACTATTTTCTGGGACATAATAGACCTTCCTTTGAAGGTGTTCAGAGTCTGAGTCAGTCTGGAACCATGTTAAACTTATTTTAATGTATCACTGTAAATACATATAGAAATTATTTTGAGGTAATGCCACAGGGAAAATGTGTCTTTGGACGAAAGACAAGGAAAACTTATATGAGTGGCCCAAGAAGGATTACTAGGATGCTACTAACAACATTGGAGATGATTTTCCAAAACCCATTAATAGAGGCTGCACAAAATGGTAACAAGAGGAGAATCATGTATTAATTCATGCTTCTTGAATGCCTACAAAAGGGAAGGCACTATATTTGCTATAGGTGGGAAAATAGAAGGTTTCTGTCTTGGAGGAATTAGCATCTTAGTAGTAGAAGAATAATATATACAAATAAATATATGATTACCTCATCTTAAAAAAAGATTTTTTTTTTATTTATTTGAGAGAGAGATAGTGAGAGAGAGCTTGAATGGAGAGGAGAGGGAGAAGCAGGATTCCCAAGAATGGAGAGCCCGATGCAGGGCTCAATCCCAGGACTCTGGGATTATGACCTGAACCAAAGGCAGATGCTTAACTGACTGAGCCACCCAGGCACCCCAATATGTGAATACTTTAAAACAGCAATGAGAAGTACTTGAAGTAGATGTCTTGGTAGTTATATAAAATGTGGATGTTGGTTGGCTTGAAAACTATAGTTACATTGAGATCTAAAAGACTGAGAGCAAAGATTGGGTATGTGGAGGGTAGAGAGTGGTGAAAGTATTTCAAGCCATAGGAAGAGTATGCACTTTAGGCAGAAAGGAAATCAGCCTTGTTCTATGTTAGTTGGATTTCTATCACTTGTGCCAGTTCCATTTTCATTCTAGAGATCACCAGATGGGTAAGAAGTTTGCTGAAGCAAATCACCATGAGGTGTCTGTCTCATGCGGCCATTCCAGGGAATAACATTTTTGAAATGAATAAAAATAAAAGTTGAATATAGGCATTTACTTTATTGCCTTAATTCACAACCTGGCTGAGTCACACTTGCTTTGGGAATCATAATTTTGAATTTCTGGACTTGAATGCATCTTAACAATTCTCTTCACGAATGGAAGGTGGGAAAAAAGAAAAGTGTTAGATGTAAAAGCCAGGCACACAAATAGCTGCAAGAAGAAGTATGACTTAGTGTCACTGAGGGAACAAGCTCAATTCTCAATTCTCAAAATCATGTTTAAAATATCAGCAGTGACACAATGCTAGGCTTACCCAGAAGACAAAGTACTGGGTTCTTTTACTGCCTGGGGCATATATATACCCAAAGTGTCTCTTTTTGCCACAATTCCTTATTAGGACTAATTCTTAGAGGTTGGGAAAAACTACCTAGGAATAGAAAATGAATACATTTAAAAAAAAATCTAAAGTAATTATACTCTATAAATAAAACTAAATTTGGACTAGCCTAACTGAAAGGTGAATTGATGGAAAAGAAGCTTTCATTTGATTCTGCATGAAATTCAAGTGGCAAATCAACTGAAAGTCATTCGAACAAAAGTTTAGTTCATAATAATATTAATTTACTTTTAATAAATTAAAGAATTGTTTTGGTACCACAGATAGGGAATACAATTTAATATTAATACTATTAAAAGATAGTTTTATGTTTTCTTACATTTCATGAAAATATTTCATAATAAAATTTTTAAAATAATAGAATATAGTTCCATCAAATTACGAAGGTCTCTGTCTTACTGTAATCACATAGAATTACATTTATTTAACTATTTAAACTCCATTTAAAATAATATAGTTACTTGCAAATCTACTTTGCTTAGATCTTATAATACAGTAGATAACTTTTTAATATTTGTAACGACACATAGCTAAGAATCTATAGGTAATGTCCAGCTTTAACCATAAATTTAGGCTTGTTGGACATAAGAAAACCTTATCTCATTGAATGATAACATTTATAAGGACAAAACTTAAATATTATTTTATACATCAGAATATCTAAAGATTTAACAAAATGCTTCGTTCACCCATTTTTTTGACAAATGTTTACTAAGGGCCTACTCTGGATATTGGGGATATAGACATGAAGTGATCCATTTCCTATCATCAAGGTGCCTAGATACTTGTGGGGACACAGGCAAGTCTACTTAAAACAACTAAGATAATTGCCATGGTGATGTAACACAAAATATATTGGCAAAGCCAAATAAATTCTATATTTCCCTGGGAATCAAGAATCGCTTTATAATATGAGACATAGTGTTTCAGCTTTAAATAAGGATGAAGATGAGCAATAATTTTGCAGGCAGGCTGAGGTGCCTGGGTGGCTTGGTCATTGGGCGTCTGCTTTTGGCTCAGGTCCTAATCCCAGGGTCCTGGGATCAAGCCCTGCCTCGGGCTCCCTGCTTACCGGGAAGCCTGCTTCTCCCTCTTCCATTCCCACTGCTTATGTTCACTCTCTCGCTGTGTCTCTCTCTGTCAACTAAATTAATAAAATCTTAATTTTTTTTTTTTTTTTTTTGTAGGCAGGTTAAGAAAGAAAGAACCATGTGGAAGATCTGAGTTCTGCAAAATCATGGTAGATTGGAAAAGTGTGGTAAACTCAAGAGACCAAAAATATCAGTCTATGTCAGAACTTTGAGAGGAAGCTAGGAGAATTGGTAGGGGAAAAAAGAAAAGAATTCAGATGCTAAAGTTCATACCATGTTCTTTGAGTTCCTCCAGAAATAGTAGTTAAGCAAAAGATAAAAGTACAATTAGTTTATTTTTCAGGTGAATGACAAAAAATCCTTAGGAGAGTAAGGGAGGTAGGAAGGAAAAAAGGTAAACAATTAAGAGCTTATTATGAAGCATGCTAACATTTAATCTCCTTAATCCCATTGGGGAAATCTGAAGCCAGTGTGAAATACAGGCCTGAGAGTTATTTCACTTGAGCAGGCAAATGGGACTTGTTTATTTATAGGCCAGCTCCCATGGTCATTGGTTGAGGGTGGGTGATAATTCACTGGTACTTCCAACCTACTCCAGGCAGCAAAGCAGGCTCTAGAAACCAAATTAGATATTCAGGCAAAGAATTCAAGTGCTGGAGTTGGGAATTCACCTGTGTGCCCTAAAGCGATAAGTACAAGGTGATTTGTATAGGGTACCAACAGCTTCATGTAATTAAATTTATAGTTTATTAAACATAAGATGCATATGAAAGATACCATGCAAGAGAGGCTTACAGCAGTGTCAAAAGTTGTACTGCTGTGTTTGGGTCCTGACTCTGTTACTCATTAGAAATGTGAAGTTGAAAAATTGCTTAACTGCTCTATGCCTCAGTTTCCTTGTCTGGAAAAATGGAGACAAGTACCTTACAGAGTTATAGTGAGAATTGGTTGAATGAATTCACAAAGGACAGTGAGACTAGTGCAAGTAAAAAATGTCCAAGAAATAAGAATTATTACTACAGTGATCAAGAGATTTTGAGCATGAAAGGCCATGATCAGATTTTGGGTTCAAGGTGGGTAACAATGAGAGTATAGTATGGAGGATGGCGCCACCAGGGGTGGGGGGGGGGAGTTGAATTAGACACTACCACTGTGAAGGAGAGAAGAAAGTAAACTCGCAAGATATTTTAAGGAAGAAATGAGGTTGGAGTGGGGATTTTTGACATAGGCAAGTGGTTGGATGGAAGAGATTAGAGGGAAAGTTTGAGGGTTCACGTCTGAACAAAGTTGATTCTACCCACATCCAGAAACACCATAACATGTTTGTCAACATGGAAATCCAAGAAGATACATTAATAATTCTGAACATATGGATATTGTTCAAAGTATCTTATAAACAATGATATTAAAAGAGAAAGATATATATATATTCCATTTTCTCATTTAAGAGCCAGAAGATAAGCCCTTATTTCAAGTTATGGCATAAAAATACACATTATAAGCTTTGCGCAGTGGCAGTATCGTAGCCAATGAGGTTTATCCGAGGCGCGATTATTGCTAATTGAAAAATACACATTATATAGAAAACAGAGTGGTGAAAAACTGTGTAACTATAAATATATGTAGTGTCAAAAGACATATGTTATATTATACTCGTATTTCCAACATTGTACTATGGTAAATTCTCAAACATCCTCTGATGGTATACAGTCAATCATTTCCAGTCAGTTTAAATACAAAGCCCCCCTCCAAATTCCTTGTTGTCTATCTTGATAATCTTGCTACTTTACCCAATCTTAAACTGCCTTTATTTTGCTTGTCTAAATTCATAGTGAATGAACTCAAGAGACCATTCGATACAGAAATTATAAAGTTGGAATTCCGTATGCCTTCCTGAAAAATCCTTATGAAAGATAATTTGGAACTAAACTTTAGATTTGTAGTAAAGTAATGATAGCCCAGCTTTAACTAGGCCTAACTTAAAAACAGAGAGAGAGAGAGGAAAAAGAAAAAAAAAAAGTCATGGTACTTTTCTTTACACCAACAACAAGACAGAAGAAAGAGAAATTAAGGAGTCAATCCCATTTATAATTGCACCCAAAACCATAAGATACCTAGGAATAAACTTAACCAAAGAGGCAAAGAATCTATACTCAGAGAACTATAAAGCACTCATGAAAGAAATTGAGGAAGACACAAAGAAATGGAAAAATGTTCCATGCTCATGGATTGGAAGAACAAATATTGTGGAAATGTCTCTGCTACCTAAAGCAATCTACATGTTTAATGCAATCACTATCAAAATCCCATCCACTTTTTTCAAAGAAATGGAACAAAGTATCCTAAAACTTATATGGAACCAGGAAAGACCTCGAATAGCCAGAGGAATATTGAAAAAGAAAGCCAAAGTTGGTGGCATCACAATTCTGAACTTCAAGTTCTATTACAAAGCTGTCATCATCAAGACAGTATGGTACTGGCACAAAAACAGACACATAGATCAATGGAACAGAATAGAGAGACCATAAATAGACCCTCAACTCTATGGTCAACTAATAGTTGACAAAGCAGGAAAGAAAGTCCAATGGAAAAAAGACAGTCTCTTCAACAAATGGTGCTGGGAAAATTGGACAGCCACATGAGGAAGAATGAAACTGGATCATTTCCCTATAACACACACAAAAGTAGACTCCAAATGGATGAAAGATCTCAATGTGAGACAGGAATCCATCAAAATCCTTGAGGAGAACACAGGCAGCAACCTCTTCGACCTCAGCTGCAGCAAATTCTTCCTAGAAACATCGCCAAAGGCAAGGGAAGCAAGGGCAAAAATGAACTATTGGGACTTCATCAAAATCAAAAGCTTTTGCATAGGAAAAGAAACAGTCAACAAAATCAAAAGACAACTGACAGAATGGGAGAAGATATTTGCAAACGACATATCAGATGAAGGGCTAGTATCCAAAATCTATAAAGAACTTACCAAACTCAACACCCAAAGAACAAATAGTACAATCAAGAAATGGGCAGAAGACATGAACAGACATTTCTGCAAAGAAGACAACCAGATGGCCAACAGACACATGAAAAAGTGCTCCATATCACTTGGCATCAGGGAAATACAAATCAAAACCACAATGAGATACCACCTCACACCAGTCAGAATGGCTAAAATTAACAAGTCAGGAAATGACAGATGCTGGCGAGGATGAGGAGAAAGGGGAACCCTTCTACACTGTTGGTGGGAATGCAAGCTGGTGCAGCCACTCTGGGAAACAGCATGGAGGTTCCTCAAAAAGTTGAAAATAGAGCTACCCTATGACCTAGCAATTGCACTACTGGGTGTTTACCCTAAAGATACAAATGTAGTGATCCAAAGGGGCACATGCACCCGAATGTTTATAGCAGCAATGTCCACAATAGCCAAACTATGGAAAGAACCTAGATGTGCATCAACAGATGAATGGATAAAGAAGATGTGGTATATATATACAATGGAATATTATGCAGCCATCAAAAGAAATGAAATCTTGCCATTTGCGACAACGTGGATAGAACTAGAGGGTATTATGCTTAGCAAAATAAGTCAATTGGAGAAAGACAACTATCATATAGGAAAAGAATAAGTGGAACAAGATGGGATTGGGAGGGAGATAAATCATAAGAGACTCTTAATCTCAAAAAACAAACTGAGGGTTGCCAGGGATAGGGGGGCAGGGAGGGGGTGGTGGAGTTATGGACATTGGGGAAGGTATGTGCTATTGTGAGTGTTGTGACATGTGTAAACCTGGCAATTCACAGACCTGTACCCCTGGGGCTAATAATACATTATATGTTAATTTAAAAAAAAAGGCATGGTACTAAGAAGTTATCCCACCCTTATTTTCTTGATAAGAATACTCTACATAAAAATAAAATGGCTGGAGTGTCTGGATGGCTCCGTTGGTTACTGAGGGTCTCAGGTCATGATCCCAGAATCCCTAGATCAAGCCATGCATCTAGCTCCCTGCTCAGTGAGGAGTCTGCTTCTCCCTGTGCCCCTCACCCCACTGTACTCTCTCTCTCTCTCTCAAATAAATAAATAAAATCTTAAAAAATGGCTATATTGGATAATCCCCTTTATTTAAAAAAGATTATAAGAAGAGTAAAGGATCAAATGAAAAAGGATGAGGCAAACTGTAATTTAAACTTCTGTTCCGCCACTTCTAATTTATCCTTATAAGTTTAATAATGTACACATTTAAGGTTAATTATGATTTAAAATAAAACAACTTGCTTAAGTAATGAATCAAGTTATCACAAGACATAAGCAAGTTTTATATCATAGTCAAGGTTTTTTGTTTTTTTTTTAAGATTTTGTTTATTTGTTTGACAGAGAGACTTAGCAAGAGAGGGAACACAAGCAGAGGGAGTGAGAGAGAGAGAAGTAGGCTTTCCACTGAGCAGGAAGCCCAATGTGGAACTTGATCCCAGGACTCCTGGGTCATGACTTGAGCTAAAGGCAGACGCTTAACGACTGAGCCACACAGGCACCAGATAGTCAAGATTATTATACAATAGAACGAGTGTCAAGACCACTGTTTCCTGTGACATTAAATTATCAGTTGAAAACAAAAATAGTGCATGACCCCTAAATAATACTAACACAAGGAAGACTGAATACCCAATTTTATTTGTTACAGCCTTGATCTCTCTTAAAGTCTTTGGAAGTTGGACTTGAAATTGAGAGGGTCAAAAATATGAAGAAACTTAAGATTTAAAAGTACAGAGGATTCAATTTCATGAAGTTAAATGATCTGTGTTAAACTTTTGATGAACCGAACAATATATATAGAAAGAATAAGTGTAGGAATAGACCATTTTCTTCGAAATTCAATAGATTCCATCTCTCTCCATTATACAATTCACCCACTGATTCTTTTTTTTTTTTTTAATTTTATTTTTTCAGTGTTCCAAGATTCATTTCAACCCCCTAAAACTGATCAGGTCTATATGAAACTTACAGACTTAGTGTGAGGCACTTACTTATATATTTGTTTTACATATCTCCAGCTATGCATACCTTTTCCAAGAAAATAATTCTTATCAATATTATGAAGAAAATAGAGCAGCATATAGGAAGTCCAGGCATGTTCTTGCACATCCATGCATATCTATACTCTAAAGCAGTAGTTTTCAAATTACTTTTCAATCTTATAGGAAAACTCAATATAGAAGACATAAAAATGTTTTATCATTAGAAATGTTAACTCAACTGATTCTAAAGTCAGCCATAAAGAATAATAAAGAATACTAAAGCTGCTTGAAGAACCAAAGTCAGTGTTGCTGTGTTTGTGTTTTAGACTTTCTTCAACCTCAATATTTTTAATACTCTTTTACCTTTTTTTTCTTCTTGTGTTGTCCGATGTTGCAGAAATTTTGGTTCATGTACTAATATCAATTTTTGAAACAAATTTCTCACCTTTTAATGTCAGAACTCTCTTCTGATAAACAGAGATGCAGAGGGAAAAAATTAATCTGATTATTAAATTAATATGTTAGTGGTCTCCAATATAATGATCTTTATTACACACCCATAGGAGATAGATGTTTTATAAAACATGTATCTTTGACTACAATTTTCATTAGTTTTTTAGTGTGCATTTAACTATTAAGAAATTTAAAATAAAGTATCCGGGAAATCCTAGAAAGAGTTGTGAGAGCCCTTAGATTTTTCCTTTTAGTTTATGACATAGTTTGGAAATGAACAGTCTGTAGAAACAAGCCAGGTGTGAACAGAGTAACATTAATGAAAATTAAAAGCACTACTTGCAAAACTCTTAGATTCTCCATCTTGTTCTCAATCTACATTTATAGCGTCATGGCCATTTTTCTTTACCTCCAGATTGTATCTGAGAAAAAGATTTCTCCTTCTCAGACTAATCCCTTCACTTTTGCTCTAATCTCACCTCATTTTCTTCTCTCTAAAACCATCCAGTAATTTTTCCTTCTTTCGCTCGAATCTTTATCTTTCCCCACTTAGTTGTTTGTTCTCAGTTAATAAGTTCATAGTTTCCATCCTAAAAATAACAGTAGAAATCTAGCTCTGACCCTTTAACCCCATATATTTAGTGCCCTATGGTTTTGCTTGCTGTCACTTCTAAATTCTGTATGAGAATGCAAAATTCAGATTTTCCATTTTCTCTCCTTGTATTCAATGCTCAAACTATAACAGTAGTGCATCTGTGCTTAATACTGGGGGGAAAAGATCTCTATATATGCCATCACTAATCTTTTAAGTTAATTATCTGTGTTAATAGCTTCATTTCAGTTGATCCCTCAGAAAACTCTCAAAAGTTTTATTGCTCTTGTCATTTACTTCCTTCCACTTTGGGTGTCTGTGGACCTATCAGTTCACGAGTCTCTTTTGTTCTTTCCTCCAGCATTCTTCAAAAGCTATTCTGTCATTTTCAGGAATGACTCTTCCAGAGTTTTATCCCTGGACTCCCTTGCTTACTCTTATACTTCCCTGGGAGATGTTTTCTATACTCAGTTTCAATACCTCTCTGTAAATAAGTGACACCCAAATCTTTATCTCATACCTTGATCTCTTTTCTAAGCTCAGGCTAGTATTATGAAATACATGATCTGCCAATTTC